TTAAAATGCGTAAGATTGCATGTTAATATCGGAAATTGGTCTAATTTTAAGACCGTTTAACGGTCTTACGGTCTTAGATCTTAATTTCAGACCGGTCATAAAACCGGAATTTGTGTAGTGTGGTTTTGTTACTTTGAGGGATTTTTGGGGTTTTTGCGTCATCTGTCAGCGACTCGGAAACTTGCGAATTGAGTTATTGGCCGATCAAGCGTTAGTGTCGCATTTCTATGATTTATTTAGTATTCTTTGGATAATCGTTGGGGACTCACGTTGAGTGTATAGATCCCTTCCTTCCCTTTTTGATCTCTCTGAGCGACGAGACCTCCATTGATGCTCTGTTCAGGAGATGGGAGTACTCTATCGATTCTCCACTGCGGTCTTGCCCTGCGATTTCCTTCTATACCTTGTTTAATCCTCTCAATAATTTCACTCACAGGAGGGCAAATTTTTTTCATTTATATAAGTTTCGAATTTTAATTGCAACGAGATTTCATCGTGGCTAAGCGCTCAAATGTTTGCCTGTATCCATAGCATTTTAATCTCAAATCTCTCGATTTTTTTTCTGTATGAAAAATGCATTGATATCAGTATGCATTGAGATCAATTGTAAGGGATTTTTATCGGTGCTTCACCAGCATATATCCCAAACTAGTTTGGCGTCGTCTCTATCGCTCAATTATGTTGGGCGCCAGCTGGATTTTCACGGAAAATCCAACGGTAAACCGGCCTCAGAGGATAACTAGTCTACCCTGAGGACTTCTCGTGACGGGACTATGCCAAGCCAACATCAGCATAACACGGTAGAGTGAGCGAGGTCCATCATATTAGGAGTAATTCACTCGATCGATCTTCGTCTTCTCAGCCGAGAGATCTCGATAAAGCGTATCTTCCAGGAGACATTTCTCCATGTGTCTTTCGCCGACGATGTTTCCATTCCTCTGACGTGTTTCCTTTCTGTCCAGAGTGGTTCAACTCTGGAGAAGTCGACGATTAACTGCGAATCCTTCTCACTCCTAGGAGCGCCGAAAATTGAGAGGCACATGCGACACAGGTATCCGGAGATTCTTTGTCAACCACCTGTGCCCACCCCAACTCATCTTCAATGCTCGGTAAAAACACTATCATCGCGGGCCAACACCCAGATTACCCATCGTGGAGGCACGTGCGATCGGGCTTCCAGGAGTCGGCCTAACTCCTGGCCCACGGATCCACACCAACACCACTTCTTTCGTCCGAAATGATGGATCCCTGAGAACATGGAATTAAAACATCCCACGTTCTCAAAGTAATCCAGTCATTCTATTTATGGGACGCTACTGCGTCCCACTCTCTCGCTGTTCCGGACTTTCGTCCTCCCAACGAACCCACATGAACCATGCGGATTATTGGAACTCACGCCCGTGCCGAGTTACCGGAAAATTCATCCGCTCGACTCCATCGTCTATCATTGATTGTCTCGAAATCTCCTAGGGCCTTCTCCCCGTAGTCTAAACATCTCAGCGGCGGTGGGTCATCCGTTACCCCGCCACCACCAATTAGCTCGACGGCAATCGAGGGGGCGCTAGTCCTCTCACCTAGTCGTTGGTCCCTAGTCGAAGACGATAGCGCCTCTAGAATCGCCCAGTTGGAACGCCGGTATGTTGGCCCTTTTTCCTCAAACACAGCGAAGCGGTTTCAGCCTCTTTATAATGTTCAGAAGCATGGTTTCACCTCACGCGCAGTTCACTTTATCCGTCGTTCGATGTCACTCTCATCTTGCGCTCAGCTTCTTCAGCTGGCATTAGATATCGCTCCCTACTCTTTCCCTCACTCTAACCATTCTTGATTCAGGGGTTTTCGTGCTGGTTAACCAGTTTACCGTAACGAGAAAATCTCATTACACAATATGCGATGGTATGTTTCAAAATGGGGAAGAAGGAAAATTAGTAGTTAAAATTCCAGATGACTCTTCAAATTTCAACCAGTATTGTGAAACGTCAAATTAACTCTCCGATAAAAAAAATAAGCAAGGAACTGAAGTTGTCCGACAAAAGGCATATGACTGTTATTTTTTGCGTTATTAGTTCTTAACACTAACAGCTCAATAACAATAACTATCCAGAGAAAAAAAGTTTCTGATTTCCGAAACCACGACACTAAAATCCAGAAACTCGTCGTTCTAGAAGGCATTTCAGCGATAGTACGGAAATCAAGAATCCTTGAGGACGGACATTAAGAAACCCGGGTTCTTCATTTCAGTACTCAACAGTTATTATTTTCAGAATCCAAAGTTCTTCATCGCAGTACTTGAAGATTCTTATTATAAGAACCCAGGAATCTCGATTTCAGTACCGGAGTGTCTGAATATAAGAGGAATATATTAGGTGCATAACTTAATCTTTTCCTTTTTTCATCGAGTGCAGTGTCTTATTTAAAATTTGAATATATATGCGCCCGTTAGATTTTGAAGAGTGGACCTTACTGTTTTTAATACGCTATATGTCATGCCTGAGAGAGCTGCATAACTTCACTAAACAGTACTATATACAATACGCAGGTGCTGCGACCGATACGCAGCACATTATGCACTGTATTCTCTACGAGTTTCAACAAGGAAAAAAGCCAGTGAAGCCCACCATTCGATTTGTTTTACTCTTGGAAGTAATATTGTAGCTTATGATACGTGTAAATATTGGTATAGACGCTTTAAAGATAGTGATTTCGATCTCAGTGACCGGGAACAACCTGGACAGCCTTTGAAATTTGAAGATGCTGAATTGTAAGAACTGCTCGACAAAGACTCAACGCAAACCCAAAAAGAGCTTGTAGCTCAGTTGACGCTGCTGCTTGAGGAGTTACTCAAGTATCAGTGTCGAAGCGATTACACGCAATGGGAAAAATACAAAAGGTAGGAAGATGGGTTCCACACGAACTGATTGAACATAACATCGGCCAACGCATGAAGACGTGCCTTTCGTTGCTCGTCAAATGCGAGAAGAAAGATTTTTTGTCAAAAATTGTGACGGGAGATGAAAAATATTTTTTTTTACTAATTCCAAATGGAAAAAGTCATGGGTGGATCCAGGACAACCATCAGCATCCACTCCCCAACAAAAAATTCACATGAAGGAGGTTCTCCTCTGCATCTGGTGGGATATGAAGGGTCTAGTCTATTACAAACTTTTGGAAGCGGGTCAGACAGTTACTGCAGAACGCTACAGTCAACAATTAAACAAATTGAGCGAAGTACTTGATGAGAAGACGCCATTTACTGGGCAAGGGAGCCGGAAAGTCATGCTGCTCGATGATAACGTTCGACCTCATGTTGCTCGCGCGACTCAGAAAACAATTTTAAGTTTGGGCTGGGAGGTTGTCCCGCACGCGGCTTATTCACCGGGCTTGGCCCCTTCTAATTACCATCAGTTCCGGTCCATGCAGCACCCCTTGGAGGGAAGCCGCTTCCAAACTCTGGGCGATGTACGAAGATTCGTCGAAGACTTCATCGCCTTAAAGCTTGCAAGTTTTTTTCGCGATGGCATTCGTATGTTGCCCGATCGATGGCGCAAGGTCATCGAAAACGATGGACGATATTTCGAGGATTGATCTGGTATTTATGTATCTCATAATGTGACATATTTTTTATTAAAAAAGGGGAAGATTAAGTTATACACCTAATATCTTGGTTTAACTACTATCGGTACTGGATTTCAGTAACAGTGACCGAAAATTAGAACTTTTTCTCTGATTCACGAAAAATTTCTCTGCAATCCAGAACTTTGTGATAATAGATTTCAGTTCTCTGAGGTACTGAAATATAGCGAATGTTACAGGGCCCAGAAACTTTTTCTTCGGTGTAGAAACCCAAATTTCACATGTTTATTCTAACTTTTATGTGTATGATGCAACGTCCTATTAAACCTCAAGTAAAACAATGAGAAAAATACCAATTTCTCGAAAAGGTTTCACGGACAGCTACTCATATTTCGATTGATCTTGGTAGAGGGCTAGATCAGTATTTTCAACAATGAAAAATGAAAGCCTAACTAGTAGTTTAGGAGATATTGGCAAGACAGTTCTCCACAAAAAGGTGAATCTTTTCGCAACTACTCATCCAATTGCACCCATCCCCAATTCCATCTTGTAATATTATACATTGTAATAGCTACAATCCTATCAAATTTTAACTTCTTAACTCAATATTTTGGGGAATCATTGCGCATATATCCATTTGATCATAAATAATGAAAAATACCATTTATTTTTAAGCTATTCTTAGACTCCCCAGTAACATAAGAATGTGGTGACTTGATTTGATAGGTATTATCATAAAGAATATTTTGACGTGAAAAAACTGCATTCAGTCGCGTAGTTTATGAGATGTTGACGGCAATAACTCCCAAACAATGTTACTTATGGGACAAAATTTTTTATTGTCAACTTCAACATTACTCCGTTTGCTGTAAAAGTTCATGACAAAATTTCTAACAATCCGTACAAGCCCACGAACATACACAGACCCATCTGAATCTGAATCTCTCTTGGAAGAGGGGGAGAGGACTAGTTATCCATGAACTGTAAAATAATTGTCATCCTCATAAATTTTACTGGTAACAAATCATGCCCCACTGCATGAACTCCGCTTCCCACTCTATCGATTCTCAGGTTTTATAACGTTCGACAGATGCCTTCGATACCTCATTAAAAACAATTACCATGTTCCCACAACAAATATGGAAAAACCGTTTTTTTCCTTGTACCAAATGTGAAAATCCCTCCTGGTTATCAGAAAATAATCAGGAAATAAATAAAAATCTTGAATTAAAAAATATATGAGGCATTTTTCTGGCTTTGAGGTCTAAATTTCTCATCCAAATTCGTTATGCCTCGTAGATGTTTTTTTCCGCCTACAGAGAAGGGACTGAATTTAGCATACGGCCTGTCGAAGTAATAAATTACCAATCCTTTCAGGGGAAAAGAAGTCTACGACAGAACTCAAATCACGTAATTAATACGATTTATTGATGTCTTCTCCAAATATTACTGTAGATGTTACCAATGTTTCAGGCAAAATCGTGCCCTTTGTGGAATTAACAGTGGCCCACGCATCCGTCTTGACAATATTGGCCATCAGCTTCGAACGTTACTATGCTATTTGTGAGCCATTACGAGCTGGGTGAGTAAATATTATTAATAATGATTAATTTGTTATAATCTAACACTGGACTACAATGGACTTGCGATATATGTACTTATTCAAAACTACTTGAAGAATATGGTACATTCCATATCAACTCCGCCACACCGGATTTTTTTTTGTCTGGGAAAAATTATTGAGTAAGTGCATTTTACACTACTACATATAGACAGTGATCATGCAATATTTCATTGCCCTGTCACTTTTTATTTCTGAGATAATCATTATGACTTGAAATTTTCAAAAAATCATTACTTCTGAATGGAGCCTCCGATTTCGATAAATAAAAAAAGAAACTTTTCGTTTTTTCTCGTACTTCAAGATAAAAAATACTTCGGAGCCGTCAAGGAGGTCCTAGATCGGTTTTTCGAGAATTTTTCGCGTTTTCATTTTTTGTTCACTCTAGGGCACTAGAGATCCATCGGTTGTCTTTAAAGAAATGAGTCTGTCAACCATTATTCTTCGTTGATATATGATGACATAAGACTACACCATCATGTACCGGAGAAAGAGTGCGACGAAAAAAAAAAATTTCGTCGAAATTTTTACTGGAAGAGTAGATGGTTGAATTGAACATTATCATCATCGGAAGTTTGCTAAATTATGATCAAACAAATGAGAGGAAGAAACAAATGGAATCAATGAATTGATTTATCATCATCAGTCGGTTCCAAGGCTTTAATTCTAGAAAAAAACCTCAATTTCTCGATTGATTTTTTATCACCATACGATTCTGTGTGGATGGATTACCGAGCTCCTATCTTATTCTATTCTTGCAACGAGGTAAGAAATTTTCACGTTGATTACATAGAAATGATCTTTATTCTCGGAATTGATATCTTCGGATTTCATAGAATGCCGCGCAGTGATAGATGTGCGAATTCAATGCGGGCTCCTGGTGAGAAGGGACACCTCGGTTATAATTTACGTCCGATTTCCTTGACACTACACGAAAAATTTACTTTTTTACCATTGTCTGCGAAAATCTGTGGTCAATGCTGAACGAGAGCTCCAACTTATGTCATTTCTCCATGTGTCGGTTAAACTTAATGCTACACATCTTCAGCGTTCAGAAACTCCACCCGATATATCAATGCTCCAAGCCGAAACATGTGACCCAAATCTAGATGTGATGAACAGTTCTCTGAGATCAGGTCGATCTTTCCANTGAAGCTGAATTCGACAGTTCTTCCATGGATTATGATTCGGAAGATGACCAAAGTGACATTGATCCATCTTCATCTAAGCAGTATCGATCTGCGAGAGAAATAGAATTAGAAGAAATGTTGGATGGTTTGAAGCAGAAATTCAAAGATCTGAAAAACTACCGTGAGTGCCTGCAAATCTTGACGGTTCATCCACAGTCGTGGAGTGCGCGGAAAATTGCTTCTGAATTTGGAACTACCAGATACATGGCGTCAAGAGCGAAAAGGTTGAGAAAAATTATAGGAGTGTTTGCTTCACCAATTGCGAAAGCAGATCATTTACTACCCAGCACAACTGTCGAGAAGGTACACAATTTTTACCTAGAGCACAGTCGCGTCATGCCAGGAATGAAAGATAAAATATATCCATCAAAATCAATGGAGAGAAGAAAATAGAGCAAAAGCGAATGATACTCGAAAATCTAAAAGTCCTTCATCGGAAGTACAAACATACGAATGAAAAGGCTAAGGTCGGTTTCAGTAAGTTTGCCAAGCTGAGACCTAAACAATGTGTAGTGGCGGGAGCAAATGGCACTCACGTGGTATGTGTTTGTATGTATCATCAACATTGCAAATTGATGCTAGAGGCAATTAATATTGCGACTCTAACTCAATATTCTCCCTGTCCACTCAGAGATTACAAAGATTGTCTAGCAAAATTGATGTGTACAAATCCAACCCCGGCCTGTCATCTGGATGAATGTAACGATTGTCCTGGAGTGAAATCATTATCATGTGAACTGAAGAAACTTCTCTCTGATTTTGTCGTGGAAATGGTCGAATTTCGCGTGTGGCAAAGTACTGACAGGTGTACCTTGCAGACACAGACCCTCCCGATGGGTGAATTCATTGATCTTCTAATGGAACGATTGATAGTATTGAAGCCCCATCACTTCATCGCTAAAGAACAATCGGCTTTTGTCAAACAGTGAAAAGAGAATTTGGATAATGGAGAAGTACTAGTGCATTGTGATTTTTCGGAAAATTACGCTTTTGTGGCTCAAGATGCTGCTCAATCCTTCCACTACAATAATGACCAGTGTACAGTTCACTCCGTTGTTTACTACAATCACGAAAAAATGAAATCCAACATCAGAGTTTAGTCGTTTTGTCGGACAGTACGACTCACGATACTGCCGCTGTTTATTTGATACAGAAGATTTTAATACAGCATGTGAAAGACAACTGTGAAAGCGTGGGGAAAATTATCTATGTCACCGATGGAGCTGCACAACTTTACAAGAATCGTTTTCAGATCACGAATGTCTTGCATCACAAGACTGATTTTGGAATAGATGCGGAAGCCCATTTTCATGCAACCGCGCACGGTAAAGGAGCTTGTGACGGAGTAGGAGCTGTCTTTAAGAGAGAAGCGAGACGTAAGAGCTTGCAAATCGTTCATGGTGAACCAATCCTCACGCCAGATGCTTTGTTTCGATGGTCAAAAGAGAATTTTGAAGGAATTGATGTTTTTTTTTTCACCAAGGCAGAACACGCGAATATCAAAACTGAGTTGAGAGAGAGATTTGATAGTGCCAAAGCTATTCCAGCCATTCAAAAACACCATTGTTTTATTCCGATATGGGGAGAGCAATTGTTAATTAAACGATAATTAATTAAATAATCCATAAATTAAATAATAAAAGATGATAAATTAATTAATTAAACGAAAAACCCGCAGAAGACAGTAATCGTGATGTAAATAATTCATCAGTGCATGTTGGAACTTGTCGTCGAAGAGAGTGGAGAATTTCTCCGTATTGTAAAAATGTAAAAATGTGAAAATATAAAATGTTATCGTTATAGAAGAATAAAAATTGTTTTTTTCCCATACTTTTTCGTTAGTGGAAAGCAGAGTGTGTTGTTGAGAAAAGATTTATAGTCATATCAATAGTCTATTCTATCCAGCAGAACAGAAAATGTCTATTGGCAAACCCCTTTTTCAGTAACAATAATGCAACTCTCCTATACGATAGACAAACGTAAAAATTTCGAAGAAAAATTTCTTTCGGAGCATTCTTTCTCTCTTACATGATGGCGTACTCTTTTGCCATCATATATGAACAAAGAATAATAGTTGACAAACTGATTTCTTTGAAAAAACCAATGGATCTCCCATAAAAACTGAAAAACCCAAAAATTTCGAAAAAAAAATTTCCGTTGCATTGCTTCGTTCTTCCATTATGGCGTATTTTTTTAATATCATATACGGACATCCTCTATCATAAAAAAAATATTTCGATCGAATATCGAGCGGCTCTAGAGTGAAAAAAAAATGAAAACGCGAAAAATTCTCGAAAAACCGATCGAGGAGCTTCTTGACGGCTCTGAAGTATTTTTTATCTTGAAGTAGGAGAAAAAACGACAATTTTCTTTTTTTATTTATCAAAATCGGAAGCTCCATTCAGCAGTAATGATTTTTTGAACATTTCAAGTTTCGTAATGATTATCTCAGAAACAAAAAGTGGCAGGGCAATGAAATTTTGCATGATCACTGGCTATATATAGTAGTTCAAAATGCACCTACTCAATGATTTTTTCCAGACAAAAAAAAATCCGGTGTGGCTGAGTTGACATGGAATGTCCCATATATAGGTTATCCCTCAAGTCGATAGCAATATTTTAGGGCTACATTCAGGGAATAATTTTGACTGAAAGGTCCTTTGGAGTCTTTTAATCAGATGTACTCCTGTCAAAATAAAGGAAATCGGAGATAGGCCAGTAGCAGGGATCGGCAAAAAAGTCATGCTTAGGTGATGCATTTTTCGCGAGTATGTGAACACTACGTGGTATTTACTCTCTTTCTCTATGTTCATCAGTGCTATTATCTGCAATTCAATGAATAATAACTCCGATTAATTGATGAATTAAGAATCAATTTATTTATTCATAATAAATGAGAATAATGATAATTATGTGATTTAAGTATAACTAACTATAATCTAACGTAATCTGACAGCTATCGGCATGCCTGTGAAATTGTCAAGTTATAAGTTAAGGTTTAATTTAAAAAACGCCTACAAGTATTAAGTCGGTGGGGATTGAACGCCAATCGTCAGCCAATGATAAACTCCCCGATGTTCGGCGGACGTATATTGGGCCGATGCTTGGTCGTGTTGCATATATCGGCTTATACCCTGCATGGGAAGCAATTTCAAGAAAATGAAAACGAAAAACGAGAATGAAAAACGAGAAGTGCGCGGAATGCAATCGTCCTTTTTCGTTTTCATTGAATAGGTATCATCATGAGGAGTATTCTGAAAAACATACCAGCGAAAGAGATACCAGCAAAAATAATTTTGGAGGAATCGCTATATCTCAGGAACCATTCAACCGATCAAAGTGTTTAGCACAAGTTTGCATTTCATTGCGACCAATTAAGGGCAAGACTTTCACCGTCTTTGTGATAGCTATTCTCGAGTTCTGAACACAGTTCTGAACATAGACACGCATGTGCACATACATACATACATACATACATACATACATACATACATACATACATACATACATACATACATACATACATACATACATACATACATACATACATACATACATACATACATACATACATACATACATTCCTTTAAAAAATCATATGTTCATGTTTCATGACATGAAAGTAATTATTTCTTTTTGGTCAATATTGATCATTGTCATAAATAGATTGGCAGTCAAGACCGCGCCAGTCCTATGCCGGTATTGATTTTTTTAATGTACGTGTCGCGTGGCTCCGTCTTTCCCTACTTGGATATAATTGAATGTCAAATA